TTTTTTTAAATGCACCATATTTTAACTAATATTAAAAATTATTAAAGCATCTTAAAAAAACTGTTTAAATATAAAATGTCATCTACCTTAAAGAGTTAATCTTTAAAATTATATTCTAAAAGATTTTTTAAATTAACATTTTAATTTCTAGAGCGAGTTTAGCTATCCAAGTGCTAAACTCCCTCTCTATGATTAAATGTAAAAATGTTAACGGGTCGAGTTGGCTCGAGAGCCGAAACTTGAACCACTGGCTCGATTCGAGTAAAGATAGTTCGAAAGTTTTTTGGCCAAGGCTCAACAAAAAAATCTAGGCTCAACCCGAGCTTTCGACTCGGACCTTAACAAGCCGAGCAGACTTGCTCTTTCTTTTCCTTTTTTTCCCTAAATATGGCTGCCTTTTAAAGCAGCTGTATGTACTGCATTAACAAGGCAACAGTGACAAGACAGCTAAACAATGTAGCAGCAACTGCTTTATAGAACTGTTAGATTTTTTATATCGCAAGTGTACGATATCGTAACAAACAGTATAGTGGACCCTTGAGTCCGAATATCATTCCCACGAAGACTATACTTTAGGATTTAATCTAATTTTTCTAACTCATATTTGACGAAAGCAAGTAAATAATTATGATGGTTGTGATTATTTTTTTCTAACTACTTTTAAACAATTGAAAGAATAAAAAGATTGCAAATAATGGATGATTGAAAATTCAAATATGTGATGAATATTAGGCATAACAATTTCATCAATTGATCACATTTATTCTTAATTCAAGATTCATAATCTAATGTAGTGTTCGATTGAATTCTTATATTGTCAATTTATCCATCTCAAGTTCTCATTGATTTTATTTAACTAATTCAATTTCATATTTCTACGTGAATCAAATTTAGTTTAACGAAACACTAGTTCTAAGAGTTTATATTATGACCGCAATAATTAGTATATATATCTCTACACGTTATACTAATTTACCGGATTTTATTATATGGTCTAAATTTCAAACTCATTTTTCGATTCGTAAAAGACTCACATAATCATCAAATTATTGATCAGGTAATTTAATATATTGAACCCAAATAAAATCAACACATAAATAAAT